GTTGGTCGAATTTATCTTAAAATCACACATCAAACATGTCAGCGTTTGTCATCTCCTTCCCCGAGGGAAAACTAGGAAACATAAGGGCGACGTCACTATCGACATCTACAATAGCCGTGTGTTGAGAGCAAACGAGATGTTAGCTGAGGAATTTGTAAACATGGCGGAGGTGACTTTTTGGTCTCAGTATCGGGATCTGTGGGATCCAACGGCCGTTTACGGTAATGATGGGGTCCATTTTGACAATATCAAACCTTACTATCACTCAATGAGAGGTTGTGTTATTCATTCACTGAAAAGATAGCTTTCGATACCACTCTCTTGTGCGATTGTCCAATTGTTTATCTTTTGACTTTAGAGATATGGACGTGTTACTTCCCTTATACATCCCAACCAAGCGGCCCACCCATGCCATGCATGACTGTAGTGGTTATCCCCCCTTTGATCAATATGTGACTTGTACTTTACAAGTGACTGTTGTTCCTGACACATATGTATGATTCGTATGCATTTATTTTCATACTATTTTATTTTCACACCACCACTGTTAGTGCCATGTATAGGGCATTATTAATTTGCTTCCTTTGTGTAATACTGGGTAAATATGCCCATTTTTTAATACAGTGTCTTATTTTCACAACTTCTAATTGTGTTCATGTGTCAGATTTAAAGAGTACAGATGTGGTTCTCGTTGAACACTCCTTTGGGCGACACATTTCGAGTGGCAATTTAATTTTCATGGTAAATGTTCAGTTCTTTTGATGATTATTTTAATAACTCATTGCCACTTTCCTTTTGTGTTCATATACACTTTTTACAAAATATATTGTCATAATAATGTTTGAATTAGTATTGGGTCCCAGGTGTCGGTTGATCATGTTCACTGCTTGCAGTTTACATATACGCCATACTTCATTTTCATATGAAGGTATAAAATCGGCCGTACACTAATGATCAGAAAATAACGGTGTGACCCTTGTCTGGGCACTCCTTTTGGGCGACTCCTAGGGGGTTAACTTAATATTACTACTGGATATACATATAAAAAGCAGTTTACCCCTTGGTGTTCATGTATTTATGGTTGTTTAACAGTTCTATATAAAAGGCAGATATATATCATTACAGGTAGTTTCTGTATGAATTCATTTTAACATTTCAAAGGGCATACTTATTTTACACTTGCATATTTGATACACTTGTTATTCTTAGTGTTGCTGTTAGCGTTTTCTGCGCTCTGTATTGTTTTTTATTGTAAGTTATGGCTCCAAAAATTAGGAGCTCAAAGGAGGTCACTCCAAGGCGACGGGCGGCTGTGGCAAAGCCATATGCTCCACCAACTCGGACTTTACCGGCTACCCCCACTACCACAGATGCACCATCACGGGTTGAAGATCCGGCATATTTAAATCAATATTCCGCTCAGTTGCAAGGCATGGTTAGAAGGCTTTCATTGCAGGTATTGAAGAAGCTCGTCTTCAATTTCATCGTGAAACCCAGCCCTTTCAAGGTCAACGACACAACATTTCCACAACAGGCCCTTCAACATCTTCACAGATGCAGGAACCACAACCCCACTTACCACCACATGTGGTACCACATACGTCGCAGGTGACGAACCTAAGTGCCACACCGGTGTCATCATCAGTGACCATGGAGCAGACCACTATGCTCAGCCAAGAGCCTTCACAGACACATGACCTGGGGCCCACACTGACCTCTGCCAATGGTGGGTGTCATACACAGTCTGCAGCGTCTATTGCTTTGCAATTTGCAGGAGCATTCCCCTGATCCAATGAGCCATTTCATTCCAGCACCATACCTCTTAATCAACTGGTGTCTGCAAAAAAAAAATTAAAACAAAATGGGCAAACAATTTTGTCGATATGAACACATTAACTGATAAGATACCTCCTGCTTTTGAAATGGTGGTACAACATGAAGAGGGGGATGCTCCAGCACTGCGGTGGGTACAGAAACAAAACACTACTACTAAAAAGTCTATGACCATTGACGAATGGACTACAAATTTCACTGTTTTCATGGCGGTGTATGCAGAGAAATATCCAACTGCATTCACGGAGTTGTTAAAATATTCTTCTCTCATTCGTAATTTGGCCCTGAAACAAGCAGACTGGGCGTGGTATGACAAGCGCTTCCGGCATCTCCGAGTACCTAACTCCTCTTTGTCTTGGGACACCATGCAAATGGAGTTATGGCATGAGGCAGTGACTCGAAAGTTCCATACCACACCCTCACCACAAAAACCAACTGCCCACCGGGGATTGTGTTTCAAATTCTTAAGGGGTTTGTACTGTGGGGGTTGTAAGTTTGCTCACAAATGTGGAACATGTGGTCGAAACATTCTGCGAAAGATTGTCATTTCCTGAACTGTGTGTTTGAACAGTCCGACAACTCTGGACCACCTCATTCTAACAATCCTTTTCGGGGTCAACAGAGGGAAGGTCGGCACCACAACAATGGGTCGCGATTGTTTCGGGTCCAAAACAGAGGTCCCTATAGCTCTACCTGTTTCCCCCGTTAAGTCTTCTAATTTGGCCAGTCTGCTCCAGGGTTATGACGCGGAAAGGGCTGCCTATTTGGTTGACGGTTTTACATCTGGTTTTAAAATCACTTTTACCGGTGACTCGTTTGGAAGATCTTGCAACAATTTGAAGTCTACATATGAGATGCCCCATATAATAGACAGCTGAGCTTCAGGCTAATCGCATTGCTGGTCCTTTTGAAATATCTCCCTTTCCCAATATGCATTTAAGTCCATTAGGTGTGGTACCAAACAAAGAAAAGGGAAAGTATCGATTAATCCATCATTTGAGCTATCCTCATGGGGACTTAATGATGGTATTCCAGAGGAATATTCCTCTGTGCATTATGCTACTATAATGATGCCATTTTGTTCATCAAAGGGACCAGTAATGCTTTTTTGGCCAAGACCGACATTGAATCTGCTTTTAGAATCATTCCCATTCATCCATCAAACCATCATCTTTTAGGCTTCAGAAGGAATAACAAATTTTACTTTGATAAATCTTTACCGATGGGGTTAGCAGAACGTTGCAGGAGCTTTGAAGAGTTCAGCACAGCACTCGAGTGGATTGCATACCAACAGTTGGGTGCTAGCGCTATCATTCATGTACTGGATGATTTTCTATTCATAGAAAATACACCAGAGCAGTGCCGTAGAGTCTTGTCAGGTTTGCAGGCGTTATGTCGGCACTTAGGAGTACCTTTGTCGGTTGAAAAAACATTTGGCCCTGACCAAGTCATGCCATTCCTTGGCATCACTCTGGATGCTATTTTAATGGAAGCTTGCCTCCCACTGGATACACTCTATAAATGTCAGGCTTTATGTTCCTCATTCAAAAAGCGTAAAAAGAAATTCAGTCTCTCATTGGTACTTTGAAATTTGCTACTTCGGTCATCTCAGCAGGTAAAGCATTCCTGCGGAGACTCATTGACCTGACGATTGGTGTTAAAAAGCCCAGTCACAAAATTCGTCTTCGGCAGCAAGCATTTGTACTGGTAGGAACAGATTATTATTAGTTCAAAGTGTTTGGTTATTTTCCGAATATCTTGTATATCCATGTTTTGTAGCATTTAGTCATCTGATTAGTTAATACGGTTGCAACGGGTAGTTCCATTATGTAAACCAAATACCAATAAGACATAGTAGCGGGACGCTCGTCTATGTTGGTTTTGTTAAAGTTTGTTTGTATGAGCCGAATGGCTGTTAAATAACATATAATAACACTATTGCCATTTAATTAAATGTAAGAGTGTAGTATGTACGGATTAACTTCAACAATTTTGTTGAGTTGACTTATTCGTATATATATCTTGTTGTTCGTTATTAGTGGTGATCACATTTGTGCAAAATACTATGAGATAACATGCAGTTTGGGTGGCGGCGTCATCGGTGATGTCTTATGGCGGTATCTTTTGCCGCACCTTCACTAAAATAATATTTTATGATATAATAAATGTATTGAAATTTAGATCAAAGATAAAAAAAAAAAATTACGGCATCCTGATAAAGGTTAGCCAATTACGCCAATACCATTGTCTGTGTGTTATCTATTATTTAAGTGAACTGAGCTTCATTGCATGTCATAAATTAAGGCTAGCATGATGCTAGGTGGTTGATGCTGCAGTGAGTTCTTGGAAGGATTTAGGAGGTACAAAATTATATATTTATTCCATGCTATGTGTAACAATGTGAAATATTTTGACCCGATGTCGATTCTACTGATTGTCGTCAGGTGTTCGAAAAACGCTATTATATTTCAATTACTTTAGTCAGTTACATTCGATTTCCTTTGGATCACAATTCCTTCCACCTGCGGCGTAGGTAGCAGCGCCGACCACAGCGCCCCCTAGAGCCTTTCCGGCTAATCCTACACCAGCAGCCCCTACAGACTGCATCACAGAAACGGCACTGCCAGCGGCGATACTGCCGCCATAGGTTGACATTAGAGCAGCTCCAGTGGACCCGGCAGCGGTTCCAGCGGCGGAAAAACCAATTGCCCCTAGTCCAGCGGACACTACAACGGGGGTGGCTACAACCCCCGCAACTGCACCTCCAGCAGCCAATGCTACGTCAGTCCAACACCAACCTGAACATGGAAATAAATCAACTCATTTATATCGAAATACACCACGACTAGGTATGACACTTATCATACAAATAATGGCTAGGGTGATGTTAATTATGCACATGATTATCCAAACTAGGGGTGACACTAATCACACTCTCCGTGACTAGGGGTGACACTAATCACACTCTCCAATACTAGTGGTGAGACTAATCACATTCACCATGACTAGGGGTGACACTTATCACATTCACCATGACTAGGGGTGACACTTATCACACTCAACATGACTAGGGGTGACACTTATCACATTCACCATGACTAGGGGTGACACTTATAACACTCAACATGACTAGGGGTGACACTTATCACACTCTCCGTGACTAGGGGTGACACTTGTCACATTCACCATGACCAGGGGTGACACTTATCACACTCAACATGACTAGGGGTGACGCTTATCACACTAACCGTTAACAAGTGGTGACATGACCACACTCGCCAGGACCTAAGGTGACATTTACTACACTTACCGTGACAGGAAGTGACCCCTATCACATTCACCATGACTAGGGGTGACACTTATCACACTAACCGTTAACAAGTGGTGACATGACCACACTCGCCAGGACCTAAGGTGACATTTACTACACTTACCGTGACAGGAAGTGACCCCAATCACATTCACCATGACTAGGGGTGACGCTTATCACACTCTCCGTGACTAGGGGTGACACTTGTCACATTCACCATGACCAGGGGTGACACTTATCACACTCAACATGACAAGGGGTGACACTTATCACATTCACCATGACTAGGGGTGACACTTATCACATTTAACATGGCTAGGGTTGACACTAATCACATTCACCATGACTAGGGGTGACACTTATCACACTCTCCGTGACTAGGGGTGACACTAATCACACTCTCATTGACTAGGGGTGACACTTCTTACACTCACCATGACTAAGGGTGACACTTATCACACTCAACATGACTAGTGGTGACACTTATCACACTCAACATGACTAGGGGTGACACTTATCGCATTCACCATGACTAGGGGTGACACTTATCACACTCACCATGACTAAGGGTGACACTTATCACACTCACCATGACTAGGGGTGACACTTATCACACTCACCATGACTAGGGGTGACACTTATCACACTCACCGTGACTAGGGGTGACACTTATCACATTCACCATGACTAGGGGTGACACTTATCACACTCACCATGACTAGGGGTGACACTTATCACATTCACCATGACTAGGGGTGACACTTATCACACTCAACATGACTAGGGGTGACACTTATCACACTCTCCGTGACTAGGGGTGACACCTATCACATTCATCGTGACAAAGGTTGACACTTATCACACTCATCATGACTAGGGGTGACACTTATCACACTAACCATGACTAGGGGTGACACTTATCACACTAACCATGACTTAGGATGACACTTATCACACTAACCATGACTTAGGATGACACTTATCACACTCATCATGACTAGGGGTGACACTTATTGCACTAACCATGATTAACGTTGACACTTATCACACAAACCATGACTAGGTATGACACTTATGACACTCACCGTGACTAGGGTTGACACTAATCAACCTAACCATGGCTAGCGGTGGCATGTATCACACTCACCGTGACTAGGGGTGACCCCTATCACAGTCACCGTGACAAAGGTTGACACTTATCACACTCATCATGACTAGGGGTGATATTTATCACACTCACCATGACTAGGGGAAACTCTTATCACGCTCACCGTTAATTGGAGTGACTCCTGTTAGGATGACAAGATATAGAATGACACAATGACTTGTCTTCATCCTTATGAAATCTGTGTAAAAAACAAAGGGAATTGGTTATATTTCAAAGCAGGAAATAACACTACATCATCAATTTATCAACATATCAATGTTTGTCGTTGAAATGCATCCAAGGTAAATTTGCTCTCTTAGTGTGTAAAATGTTCTATAATTAAATTCATCGAAAGCTTTTGTTCAATCATTATTTATATACATTTGGTAGTGTTTTGATCTTATATCTATTAAATAAGCAATTTATGAATATTAAATATTAATTTTATTTTATAACATATTAATTGTATTTATATTCTATATAATATTGTATGTATTTTATTTTAATTGCATGTACAAAACAGGTCCTGTATTTTGTAAAGTGCTTTAGAGCTGCTAGCTTCACAAGAATATGGCGCTATATAAACATCTTCTATTATTATTAATATTCAATCCAAGAAATAACCCTACATCATTCCAGCAGACTACATAACTTTGTGTCAACCATGAATTACAGTTAAATATATCTTTGAACACCTTTATATCAACTAGCATGCTTACTTATAAGAGATTGTTAAAACAGATTGAAAATTCAGTTTATTTATAAGCATTGTTCTTGCTACATATCATGAGTAAAGAACCGGTAATGGTCGCCTCACACTGCAAGGGTAGGTACTACTCAACATGTCTATATACCAGATTAATTAGTTACACAAACTACAGATCCCTTTCATCATACGGTTTCTTTTTTACATCTAACAATTGTCAAACAACATGATTACAACATACTTACCTTCAGAAATCCTTCACACCGCCGTGAAATGAGGTTCTCAAAAATAATGTCCGCTAATGTCGCCCTTGGGATTTGTCAGAGTATCGGTGTCGAGTATCGTCACTACCTTCCGATTCACGAAGCCAAACCTGTCAGTATATCATTGGTTAGTGATGACGTAACTGGCTATTCATATGTCAAAACGTGTACTCTGTATCTAATCTGAACTATCGGTTAAGTCAACAAACACAAATATTTGTCAGATGATATACTGCTGTATAACTTAGGTATACTAATACTAATTTATAACATCTGATATAGCGCTCTATCTAGTTAGAATAAGCCACTCGAAAGCTCTTTACAGTACATAGATATACTGTTGTATAATTTAGGTATACTAGTAATAATATACAACATCTGATATAGCGCTCTATCTAGCTAGAATCAGCGTCTCTACAGCGCTTTACTGTTAGTACATATATATACTGTTGTAGTACTTAGGTATAATATCCGTACAATGACAGATCTCTTCACCTAAAGATGAACTAGTGCACCTGGTGTATTTATTAATTGAAAAGGGTAAGGGAAATCAATAGAAACTCAAACACCGGCGCCTTGCGTGTTCATGTTTGTATTTTCATGTTTCATATTTATCATCTAACGACGCATTTTTGTATTCTTTTCCTCTTTACTCATTGCTGGCTACAACATAGACACCAATTGTATGGCATGCACAGGTAATACTTTCGCTGCTACAATAATACAATATAAAGATTGGGTTGACGTAGAAGTTGCTATGGTATTGATAACGGTCTTTCCATATGCTGCATATCAGTTTTTAATTTGTTAAGATGACGTACGTGTCATTTAGAGCACATCATGAGTGGTTTAACTTGAACCACGCTGAAATACCAGGAAAACAAAAATGAAGTATCTATTGATCAGGTTCACAACTTGGAAGGTTTCACGTCTACTTTCCCTTTCCACATATTTTGCCCTAGTTTTATCGATTTTTTAGTTGGAATTACGGTTTTGTTTACGTCTTTTTAACTATTCTATATTTTGTACTTTCCAACCTCCGCATTACTGAGTTGTTTTCTTAATAAAATAATCTCATTCTTATACTTTATACTTCAGTTTTGTTCGATAGTATGAGTAAGGTTTCCCTACAGTTCTAACTCCATAACGTTTGGCATAGTTGAACTGGTTTCAGAATTGTTAATATAATTTTATAGCCTCCCTTGTTTCCATTGTCCTAGATTTCACTTCACTCGTTGGGCCTGCCATAGAACGCCTCCTCTCTAGGTTCAACATTTACAAAAGTAACCTTTGAAAGAACTATGGCTGGTTGCTATCCCTATTTCCCCAAAATTGTGATCCGCTAGTGCCCGTGTCCAGCCGTGCACTTTTATGACGCGGTCCTCAGGTATTTTATACAAGTAGCTCTATTGGAATCCTGTGTCTATAGATTATTTAAGGTCATGGCTAGTAATACCTGTGTTTCACGATAGGAACTCAACAGGATGCTTATTTCACCTTTTATAATAAATCATACACTGAATGTAACACAAGATACTGCAATCATTACCAACAAGTTTTGAACGGATTTATTTTGTATCCCTACTGCATGCCATAACATGATTTCTTACAAATTTTACATATACATATAAGTTTGGGATAGCATGTTTTACACGCTCCTTACTTTTGTGTTGCAGTCTTCCCGCATTTCAAACAAATGATACTGTCCTCGCTGAAGAATATTCCGCTTTTTAGTAAAATATTTGCGATAATATTTTCTTTTCTTTTGCTTGGCCTTTTTTATTGTGACGCAACAAATCCCACATATTTTGTATGTCGGCATCATTTGTTTGCTTTGGAATAACAAATAAAATTACATTAGAAAAATAAAGGGTAAAACGATTCATAAATATCGTTTAAATGATGTCTTACCTACAACTCGTAGCTGTACTGTACAGGGATTTTTTTATTTTTTATTTTTTATTGTTATTTTTTTCTACATAACATTTTCTTTTTTTCTTTTTTTTTATTCATTTTCAAATTTTTTACATGACTTGATACAATACATATGGTACATGATTGTTAAACTGTTAAAACTTCTTAAGAGTTGTTGTTAATAAAAAAAATCACTATGAACACACACTTGTCAAGCATGCACCTATATACAGAGACAAAACATAATTCGCACACAGACACACATACACTTACAGTCAAACACTCACACAAATTGATATATAAATAAATTATTAATAAATAAATGGTATTCGTGACATTAGGTATACAGACAAAAATCAAATGCACACAAAAGACAAAGGACAAGACATGTGGGACAAAACAAGGACAAGGGAAACCTAGGTCAGAAAGATGTTATATTAATTTCTTTTAATTTTTAAATTTGCAACCAGTGAAGTAGTTGTGTATTAATCTGTATTTTATTTTTAATATTACTTTTAGATATTAGGATTTTGTGAGCTTTTAATTCGAACTTGATATGATTTTTTAGACCATTCAGATTGAGTTCTATTTCAAGGCATTTTGATTTATATATGTATTTGTTTTACCGTGAGTAATATAAAGTTATCCAAGTTGAACTATGTATATTTATTAATTTGTTTGCCAAAGATAAATTCTTTTTTATCAAATCGAAGACCAAGACTTTTAGCAATAATCGTAATTCTTATATTTTCTATCAAATTAGTTACCTTTTCACCATCCCATAATATATGTTATTGTTTTCTGGATGAGTTTTACAAAAAGTGCATATACAATTATCTAATTTACCAATTTGAAATAAAAAATTGTTTGTGCTTAGGATTCTATGATTTATTCTGAATTGTAAACATAGTAGTGTGGAACTGGTACAGGTATTGAAAGGATATTTGTATATATATCCAAATATAGAAGGCAGAGCGTCTTAATATTACTAAATACCTGTAGGCAAAGGTAATCATTCAATGTCAGTAAAACAATAAACAACATAACCTATTACTTGATCAGTATAAAGACCATCGATATTTTCATCTTAATAGGAACACACACACAAACACACACACACACACTTTATCTGAAGGCGTATGTGTCCCACACGGCGGACAAGACCCAGCATTAGAGATATATAACAAGAAATGCCAATAAATAATCCAGGGGATGAATCTGCCGACGAGGTATCTCGTAATTCAATCTTTGTTTACAAATACTGTCCATTGCTACCTCATTTATCCTGTAACAATTGTGATCTATAACGGTGGAAGGGTTTGGGGCGATGAAGTTAGTTTCCCGCAATATTTTATTATTGCACCACCAGTCTTCTGTGTTCAAAGCAAAAGCATCTGATACAAGTTGATGGTTTATTACGTTGTAAATAACACACATGACCACTTGTATAATTATCCGGAGTTGTAAGGAATCTTCTGAATAAGAGTCTTTTCACTATAAGAGTGTTTTACCAACATGCTGTATGCTTTTGCATTATGTGTCTATTATCATCTTTAGAAGTCTATTTATTTGGAAGCTGGTTCGTCTAGCTCCACATTTCAAAGAGTGTTCAAGCGGGATATAGCGGGCGAGAGCATTAATTTGGTAACGGAGCGACCACAAAACCTCTAACAATTCCTAAATATTTCTTTTGGCAACAGATCGTTTTGGCTTCAGTTTGCAAAATTCAGTGGAAATCCCGTTTTCTGCTAGGATATTGTCAAGAACTATAACCCTAAAACCTTTGAGCAGGATCTAAACAGACGACAGAAGAAGGGACAAGAGACGAGGTTCGATGGCAAGTTTGATGACGTTAACGTAAGAACATGATATGTTTACCTAGCAATTAAGCATTTCACAATGATAGCCATGCCATTAGCGTGAAAGTACCGGTGGAGCATGGTCGGGTGTTGATGACACGACGGTTGGTCAAGGTTTGTGTGATGTCAGCGTTACATTAATACATTTATGCATTCTAGTAAGGATCGCACAGTGTTTTCAAATCAATAAGCAAATGCAACAAGAATTTAACATTGAGATACCTTTCACATCGAAAGGATACGTTGTTTTGTTTTAGGAATGTGTCCCTGGTCGTAGATCGGACAGATCAGATTATTTACTTAACAACCGTGTGGACCTACTTCCAAATGACAACTTAGCGTTGTTATTCTTCATATCAGAATTAAAGATGCGTCGAGCCAAAGAAGCCATGCCGAGGTTAACGATGAAGCATATATTGCATGTCCCGCCCTTCGGTTGCATGGTTAGTTATCTTAAAAGGGTAAACAGGTCCGTCACATATGTACGAGTTTTGTTAACTACATTGTATTGGTGATGTTTCTGTCTGTAATTGTTAGCAAAATTGGTAAACAGAATATCTGTTAGCGCTTTAATGGTAAATATTTCTGTTTGTTATTTTTAGCAATAGCAACAACACAAACACCCACAATAACTTACGAAAATTGTTTTTATTCAGTAGTTTCCAGACAGGAAATAAAACTGTTCACAAAATGTCCGAGGTGCTACGTACTATCTGTAACAATGAGAAATATTCTGACACGGTTTTTATTATAAAGATCATCGTGAAAATGTCGAAAACAAATTAAACAAAAAACGCTATATTTTTACTTTTGAATCTTTTTACAATCTATTTTCTTCGGATCACAATTCCCTCCACCAGCGGCGTAGGTAGCAGCGCCGACCACAGCGCCCCCTAGAGCCTGTCCGGCTAATCCTACGCCAGCGGCCCCTACCGACTGCATCACAGAAACGGCACTGCCAGCGGCGATACTGCCGCCATAGGTTGACATAATAGCAGCTCCAGTAGACCCGGCAGCGGTTCCAGCGGCGGAGAAACCAACAACCCCTAATCCAGCCGATACTACAAAGGGGGTGGCTACAACCCCCGCAACCACACCTCCTCCGAGTAAGATTGCGTCAGTCCAACACCAAGCTAAAATGTGAATATAAATGTAAAACTCATCAATTTAGGAAAATCATTATATTTATGACAGCAATAGGTATATCTATATATGCGAAAAATAGAAAAGGGAACGCAAATCTAGTTAAATGCAATCAGAGGAAGTAACAAAGTAACTACATGTGAAACTTATAACACCTAACCGTCACTAGGGGTCGCATTTATAATAGTCATTAAGACTTATGGTGTCACTAATAACACTACAGCTCGAGGTGACACTTACCA